TAAAAACAAAGTGCAATAAACAATCATACTTTATAGCATATTGTACCGTTGTCCATAAAAAATGGATAATTCTCACACCAAAAATTCTGCTGCTTTAACGCAATGGTATTGGGGTTAATCTGCTTTTTTCTTTTTTTGAGTAGTACTGTCCAACAAAACAAAGCAGTTCTTTCGATCATTTAACACACGCAGCATATCAGATGATCAAATCATTAAGTGCATCAACTAAGGACACTTTTGACATTTTCACTAATCTAAAGTGACAATAGTAGAAATCGCTGTGCAATTTCACCTTTTGCTGAACCTATTTTAATTAATAAGCTCCTTCTCCTTCAGCGTGTGTCGTATCAATATAAGTACTCTAGAGTGTATGCTTGTTTACTTTTATAATAACGGGGAATTCGAAAAGATCTCTGATCGACTGCGGAGTTGTTTTTGTCAGTTTGTTTCTACGGTGTTCTCTTAGACAACATACATTCGCAAAACTTCCCCAACATCAAAACATACGCAATGACTAAATCGACAAGAAAAATTCGTGATCCTTTATCAATCTCGAAATCGAAGACAAGTACTGTATTTCTTGCTAGAAAACTTCCCTATCAGCGAAAATGGGGTGGGGGGAGGAGGGGAATTAATATACACACTATTCTAACATCCCTAACTCAAGAAAAAAGGCGGATGAAGAGGCAACCTTCAAGCAAACGTGCCTGATATGATTACTACAACAATCGAATTTAAATTATGTCCAAGAATGTTTTGATCAAAGTCCTTTTCAAAGCAGTAACAAGGATAAAACATTAGATTTCAAACAGCCTTTTTAACAGACTGTTCAAATCTTTTTCAAAGAATCTATGCAATAGTTACAACATTTAGTTTTGATTTCTGTGTAAACGTCAAAACTTCAACCAGGCAAGAAAACAAACAAAAATTGCTTATGCGAAACCAGCCTTCAACTCGTAAACAGGAACACGAAAGTGGAACCAGAGAATTACGTATTGCGACCCTAACAAATAATAATCCAATCACATTGCATCGTTTTAATGGCGTCGATAACCGCAAACGTCACATTTGTGCGTTGATCCGTTAAGGCAAAGCTGAGCTGTTTAGTCCGAGGTAGGTAAAGAGATTATAAAAATCAAAGCACATCAGCTCCCTCCCGGTCCTTAAAGAAATATTTTAAGAAATTCTCGAATCGGCAGGAGTGGGTTCTGGGGAGAAGGGAAGGGGGGTTTACTTGCACGCCATTCCACATTCCTTCTCTGAATACAAAGCAGACTAACTACGGTCGTGTCTGATGTGATATTGCAATTGGAGTAAGCTCTTGAACAGAGGTCAACTATATTCGCATGACGTCTTCTTCTAGATTGTTCTGCTCAAATTTTATTTTAGAACAGCATTGAAACAATTCTTGGAGCAAACAAGGATAAAGTTACAACTTGAGAGTCTCTCACCGAAGGAAAAGCTTTCGAACGAACAATTCAGTTTAAAGTCTACAATCTTCAACAACAACACGCAACTTATAATTTCTTGATCAAAATACACCGCCAGCTAAGGTGTATAAGGTTACAAAATTAGGGGAAAATGTTCATGGACGACGGCGAATTCGAAAAGATCTCTGATCAACTGCAGTTGTTTTTGTCAGTTTGTTTCCAAGGTGTCCTCGTAGACAACATAAATTCGCAAAACTTCCCCGACATCAAAAGATGCGTAATTATTAAATCGACAGGAAAGTTTGTGATCCTTTATCAATCTTGAGATCAAAGACTAGTACTGTATTTCTTTCTGTTGTCCAAAAGCAGCTAGATGTTTTGTTTCAGTTTCAAAATTAGCAAGTCCTGGCCCACTACAGAAACAACAAAATTACACTATAACTCAATGTACTTACCAGCGCCGCTAATTTTAGCGCCTTGAGGAACAACTAAGGCTGATAAATGTTATCGTTTCGGCTGCCGCTGTGGATCGTGATGGCCTGGCTCGTACGAACAAGGCTTGCAATCAAAACTTCCCGATCTGTACATTGAAGGTGAAAACAAAGTGCAATAAACGATTATACTTTATCTCATATTGTACCGTTGTCCATGAAAAAGGATAATTCTCACACCAAATATTATGCTGCTTTAACGAAATGGTACGTTGCGGGGGTAATTTCCTTTTGCTCAGTATTATTGTCTAACAAAACCAAGCAGTTCTGTCGATCATTTAACACACGCAGCATTCAGATGATCAAATCATTAAGTGCATCAAATAACGGCACTTGACATTTTCACTAATCTAGGGTGACGGTAGTAGAAATCGCTGTGCAATTTCACCTTTTGCTGAACCTATTTTAATAAGCTCCTTCTCCTTCAGCGTGTGTCGTATCAATACAAGTATTCTAGAATGTATGCTTGTTTATTTCTATGGACAAAGGTGAATTCGAAAGATCTCCAATCGACTGCGGAGTTGTATTTATCATTTTGTTTCTACAGTGTTCTTTTGGACAACATACATTCGCAAAACGTCCCCAACATCAGAACAGATGCAATGACCAAATCGACAAGAAAGTTCGTGATCCTTTATCAATCTCAAAATCGAAGAGTAGTACTGTATTTCTCGCTAGAAAACTCACCTTTCAGCGAAAGTGGGGTGGAGGGGAAAGGGGACATTTACATACACACCATTCTAGCATCCTAACTCAAGAAAAAAGGCAGATGAAGAAGCAATCTTCAGACACCCGTGACTGATATGATTACTACAACAATCGAACTTAAATTATGTTCAAGAATGTTTTGATCAAATTCCTTTTCAGAACAGTAACAAGGATAAAACATTCGATTTTAAGAAGCCTTTTTAACAGACTGAAGATATATTTTCCAAAGAATCTATGCAATAAGTACAACAGTGGGTTTGTCAAAATTTGAACCACACAAGAAAAGAAACAAAAATGGCTTATGCACAACCAGCCTTCAACTCGTAAACAGGAACACGAAAGAAAAACCAGTGTGTCACGTATTGTGACCCTAACAAATAATAATCCAATGACATTGCATGCTTTTGAAGGCGTAGACAACCGCAAACGTCACATTTGTGCGTTGATCCGCTAAAGAAAAAAATTACAAAGTGAAAAAGCAAAGCACATCAGCTCCCTCCCGGTCCTTAAAGCAATATTTTAAGAAATTCTCGACATGATCGGCAGGAGTGGGTTCTGGGGAGAAGGGAAGGGGGGTTTACTTGCACACCATTCCACTGAATACAAAGCAGACAAAAGACAACATCAAGAAAATGCTAAATTTGGCAATTTTCTTACTGTAGTCGTGTCTGGTGTGATATTTTAAGTAATTGGAGTAAGCTCTTGGGCAGAGGTCAATCATATTCCCATATCTTCTTCTAGAATGTTCTGATCAAATTTTTTTTTTCGAACCTCATTGAAACAGTTCTTGGAGCAAACAAGGAAATTGTTCTAAATTGAGAGTCTTTCACCAGAGGTAAAACTTTCAAACGCACACAATTCAGTTTAAAGTTCACAATTTTCAGCAATAAAACAAACCCTACACTTTCTTCATCAAAATGCACAGCAAGCTAAGAGTGTGTAACGTTACAAAATTAGGGGAAAATGTTTGTGGACTGAACGGTGAATTCGAAATATTGGATCTCTAATCGACTGCGGAGTTGTTTTTGTCTGTTTGTTTCTCTCAGACAACCGACAGTCGAAAAACTTCCCCAACATGAAAACACACGCAATGACTAAATCGATAGAGAAAGAAAGATCAAGATCCTTCATCAATCTCGAAATCGAAGACTAGTACTGTAATTTTTTCTGTTGTCCAAAGGCAGGTAAATGTTTAGTTTCAGTTTCAAAATTAGCAAGTCCTGGCCTGCTACAGAAACAACTAAATTACTCTATAACACAATGTACTTACCAGCGAGGCTAATTTTATTGCCTTGAGGAACAACTATGGCCGATAAGTGGTATCCTTTGTCTCTCGATCTTTTCACTGCCGCTGTAGATTGTGATGGCCGAGCTCGCACGAAAAAGACTCCGGGCCGTTTGCTTGCAAGCGAAACGTCTCGATCTACGTACATCGGAGGTGAAAACAAAGCGCAATGTAAACGATTATACTTTAGCTAATATTGTATTTAACGACGATGAATAACCACAGTTTATTCATACGAGATAAGATTTACCATTCAGCAAATCAAGAATCGTAATAATTCCGTCTGCCTAAGAGAAATTATAGTTCTGAAAATGAATGAAGGACAAATTCCTAATTTGTTGTATTCAAAACGAAATCGACTCAGCATTTAGTAAATGATTAAAATGAAGCAGGGTTGAACTCGTTCATAGAGCCGTTAAGCTTTGCAGTTTGAGTCTATGAGCAAGAATTTGTAACAACACCCTTAATGGAACTTACACCGAGCTTTGGTCTCGTTGTAAACAAACGCTAGTCGGAATTTTCTTCTCGAATCTTGATTACAAATGATCTATACTTACTTCGTTGAGGATTTCAGGAACTACTGAGGGAACACGTCAACGTTTTCAGCCAAAATGACAAAGTACAGCTCGGAAGCAACGACGCTCAAAAATGAAACCAACTTGCAGAGCGCAGCATATCTGATGACATTTCACTTGTTGACTTTCACAACTAAACGTCAGCAGCAGACAGATTTGCGCCTGATCTCATTAGAAAAGAATCCAGGTCATTCAAACAGCCGATGACTAAATTGTAGGTAGGGGTAGGGCTAGGAGGAGGGGATCATTAAGGAAGTTTGGTCGTTTCGAGCTTAATTTCTGGATTAGCAGCGATACCAAAGGAAGAGTCATTTTTATAGCCTGGGGGGCTAGAGGAAATATTTTCTTAGGGGAGAGGGTGGGATCACATGGTTTTCAGGAGGAAAGGAGGGGGAATCAGTCGTCTCTAACGGAGTTAAGAGCTTTGGTAGAGCTAAAACGACAACTAGCATTGTATATGGTCCATTCTATGTTAAAACAAATAATTACATTGGAAAAACATAGTTTTTATCAGGATAAGTAGTATATTCGCATTTAAGTCAACTGAAAACATCAAGTTCTGCCTTTACAGGTAATTACAAAGCTATTTGAACAAAAACCTTCCATCATTATATCTAAAACAAATTTCAAAAACTTTTTAATACAAAGGAAATCAATTTTTTGGTTGGTACTTTTCAGAGGATTGGAAAGGAAATTTTTTTCCATAATGTCTGTTATGTGAAAGTATGTAGGAAAATTTGCATACTTGAAACCCATTCATTCAGATTTAATAAAAATATCTTTTTATAAGACGTAAAGAAATTCATTCACTCTTTAGTATAATGGTGATCTGCATGAAAGTTGAAAATTCACCATGTTAAGTGTTTATTGATTGTTCTGGGGCCTTGATTCAAGGCTGGTAGCCCTCACAAAATTGGAAAATTCAATGTCATCAAATATTTGCTGATTAAATTTCAAGTAATTGCTGTATTTTTGCCACCATTTCCAGCCAATTTACAATGGTAATAGGACTGAGTGGAGTCTAATTAGGTTTGTTGTTATCATACTCATGATTAACAAAATTGGACGACTGTGAAGACTGCGGAGACCAATTTTTCAATCGTGTGTATGATTACTGAAAGAATTGGACGACAAGAAGTCCTGTTACCAATTAATCTTAATTGTTAAAATTTCTAAAGACAACAAGTACATTTAGGTCAAATATCTCTGGTAGAGACAATGTCTAAAGTAAAAAATATGTCTCCATTTTGGAAGTTCTTCATTTTTTAAATGACAAGTGGCTGTTGCTATGGCTATTGTGATTAACTCTGTGATTGGTGGATTTGGCTGAGTGGACTTAATATGACTGGTTGCTTCAACTGTCTGATCACAAGTGTCCAATTACAGCCAACTGTCCAATAACAGCTGTACAGAATGATGAGTGAAAAAAACAATAATAATAAAAAAAAAGAAAAATGAAAGCAGCTAAAAAGAAAAATGAAAGCAGCTAAAAAGAAAAATGAAGCAGCTAATGCACCAATCACATTTGAAGAAATTGTAATTGATTAGTGCCTGAATAGCCTGTTCCAGGTATTCAGTCAGTAAAACAATGAACCCCACCTGACCCAAGCCTCTGCTCCAGTCTTTGCTCTGTTTTACTAACTGGAGTGAGCCAATGCCTGAAATGACCTTTCGTTGTTCTAAAAATTATTTTTGTATTATCTGTGTCAAATTAATATAATGTTATTTAATAAAGAAAATTAGAAATAAAGTTTGGCCACCCAAATTTACGGTGCTGTCTATTTTCTCTGTGCTCATTGATTAAGCAGATTTTTTCGTGTCATTCAATAGTTTGGCCAAAATGGCGTAGGTATCTCTTCCATTCTTTAACTGTGATTCAGCATACTGGATTAGACTGGCTTGCAGGCTCAACACCCTTTTCCTATTGTAACGGATCATCTATATTTAAATTAAAAAAGAATAAAAATTAAAATCAATCAAGTAAGCAGATTGTCTGCTGCAGTTAGAGCCAAATGACAATTTCTTTTTATGTGCCCTCGACAAATATTTATATCATCTGCCATTTCTCCTCTGTTTATTACGCCGACACAAAGGATTCATTGTAAACCATAGAAAATGGTCGAATATCAAATTGTTGATGAGCGGTTTTGTCACTTTGGCTTCTCAGAGGTTAATGGTACTTGCTCATCACTTTCGAGTTAGCCAATCAGTGTGCACGAAAAACACTATTCACTTGTGTGGTATATACTAATTTTTTGATATTCAGGTTTTAACATGAAAATGGCACAGATATTCATATTATTGTTTGACATGTGTCTTACAAGTAAACCAACAACAGGGTGGTCTGCCTGTAAAACAAACCACGAAATGCAACCAGGTAAGCGAGGCATGCAAAAGTTTCCAGCTAAACTGTAAGCCAAAAGTCTAAGAAAAACAAAAGGCTTTTTTTATATCATTTTATTCACCTCTTTCTTTGCAGCTTCTGAAATTGAATTGTTTGCTTCCTCTGCATCGTCTTTGGCTTTTAGAAGCTGAAAATAAAAAAAAATTTGTAAAACAATTTAGGATTCTTCAATTCTGGCGTTAACAATAATTATTCAGAAGCTTGACTTGAACTTTGAGTCTATTACTAAGTGCAGCCTTATGTGAATCACATGAAACAACATACTCAATCACATGTAACATATCAGAGAGAGGTACCAGAGGAATGCACATCACATGCACATGTTTGTCAGAACCTTACCATTTCTTGGATTTTGGGTTTGGCTTTTTCCAGTGCTTTTGTTGCATTCTCAAACTCAACTAGTTTACATGTATGATGGAAAAGCATCTCCTGCAGGGTAAGAGATGGACAAAACAAGTGCAGTAAACAGTTTAAATAATCATCTTGGTACAGCAAGAAGAAATAACCAATAAAAAAAAGGGTTTTCAAAGTTAAGGCACTGTAATTGCAATCCAAAAGTCTCACTTTCCAGTTCATCTGTAGTTGATGGTTCCAAATTCAATCATACCACGAAGCATTGTAAATTGAAAGAAACTCCCAAGGTCAGTTCATGTTTCCATTCCACCATTCCAGTCTTTGTTTGCAAGTTTCCCCTTCCCTTTCGCTTAGCAGTACGAAAATGAAATGTAAATTACTCAAAGGGTGCTTTTTCTTCAGATAACCGCTCCCTCATGCTACATTCATGTAGATACACTCATTCTTACCAATGAATTGAATAAATTGAATGCAACAGAGATATAAGGGGTAGGACCCAGGCTTCTAGTTCAAGACACAACCCACAAACCATTCGCAATATGGGAAAAAGATAAGTCAACAGTCTGGCTGATGAATTTTTCTTGTTGTTGGGATATTTTTGGCTTTTCTTTTCTTTCTTTTTGAGACTTGCAGTGATCCTGAGCTTTTCCCTCAGCTGTGATAATGCTCTCATCCCAGCCCACCCCAAAAGAAAATGATCACTTCCTTCCCCTTGCCTAACCCTACCCACAAAAGGAAAGCTGGTATCCTTTAAAGAGTTAAATAAGATCCAAGTTTTCCAATACATATTTCACATACCTTGGCAGCATCCATGTATCTGGAATAAAGTTCTAAAGTAAAACCTAATGTGTTGTGATCATTAGTGGACATAACATCCAGTGATTCCTAAGGAAAGGAGAAGACAAACAGACAAGTAAGACAAAACAAATTAAACTCTTGGAATTGAAAATACTGCCAGCAACACTAGTTCCTGTCTAAAAAATGCTATCATACCTTGACACCATTTAGTGCACTTGAAAAAGTCACAAAACTCCTGTAAAAGTAAAAAAAGCTTTTAAAATTAGCTTTTCGTTACACACTGACATCAGAATGTATATTCTCAATACTGTTCTTGGTACATATTCTATTATACTGACAAGGAGAAGTTGTTCAACAATCAAGAGCTTCTTTGTTTTTTTCTATCATTTCCTTTATTCTCATGACCTTAATGTACTATGCAGCAGTGATATGGTGAGGAGAATAATTCTTTAGATGCTGATCACTTCAACAAGAGAGGAAGACATAACTATCATGCTAAGGTCTTGATAGGTCTTGATTGCCTCTTATTACCAGTTCTCATGATGGTTACAGCAAGTAGAGCTAGCATGTAAGATGTGGTAAAACAGTGGTTGTTCACATGGGAAAAAAATCAGCCAAACTATATGTCTGGTCCATCATTGCTTGCATTGGAAGTTTGCCACCACAGGTTAATAATGGAAAGATATGAAATAAATATTAAGTAATTATTACAAAATCATATCATTTAGCAATTTCAGACAAAGAACAACAAACCCTTTCAATTCCTTAGTACTATTATCATCACCAGCAGATGCTGTCATGATGCCAGAACTAAAATCATTCACTGCTAATGCAACACCTGAAATTCACAAAGAAATTCAAAATTACCAAACTTACATATGTATTAATATGCCATCATGGTGAGATTGTCATAATCATACAGTATCATTTGTTATCAAAATCAATCATATATTTTGTAACATCCTGATACATTACAATACTGTATGGTTGAATAATAATTCAGGTAGGTCTTTGCCACCCTCACGTTGTTTTTACATGGATGTTCTTTAGATATCAATGTTTTTAGCCATACTTTCTGATAAAATTCACTAGACTGGACCATTCACCAAAATCATGAGATTTGAAGTTGTAATTCACTATTTCAGCCTAAAAAACCTTAATGCAGATTACACATTCCAGCAAATAAAACATTGCTACATACATTGCTGACTATGTAACATTTTGGCAAAGTTCTACAAAAAAAACACAAGTAGAAAAACATTTATTTATTTAATCTCAAAATTGTCAACTCTTACTTAGAAGCTAAAACCAAATCTGACTTTCCTCTAAAACCTTGTTCTCATCATAGGTGCTGTTTGGTGCAAAAGCAATTCACAGAATCATAACTTAATTGTTTATGTTATTATTGACAATTAGACATTCTGGCTTTTCAACCACAGTTTCCAGCAGAGTTGGCATTTTGTAATTCCAGATCTCTTTTCCCTCATAAAAGACCCCTAAAGCAAACCAACAAGATGCATGTAAATGTAATCTATCCTACACCCACAAGTAGTTCAGGGTGCAGAATCCTAGCCCAGACTGACGTGGTGACCCTTGCGAACTGAATTCCCAGTTTTCTGGGAATTCCTAGGAATTCCTAGGAATTCCTAGGAATTCTCAAAAATTCCCAATTATGCAAATTACCCTTGCAAACTGAATTCCCAGTTTTCTGGGAATTTCTGGGAATTCCTAGGAATTCCTAGGAATTTCTAGGAATTCCTAGGAATTCTCAAAAATTCCCAACTATGCAAATTAACTCTGATTTAAAAAGCTTGGAATTACTGGGAATTTCTGGGAAAGGAAGACTCCAGTTTTGTGAGGACTTGGAATCCCTTGGAATTCCTAGGAATTCTCAGCTTTACAAACTACCTATAATTTAAGAAGTGTGGAACTCTTGGGAATTTCTGGGAATTGAATTTGAAGCAATTTTAATACCCTGAGGTCCACATAAATTCTAAGAAACCCTCAATACCTTGAATGTGAACGTTTTAAGAAAAAGAGTAATTTCAGAGGCTTAAAACTTTGGCTCAATAAAAGGTATGCTATAGAAAACTTACCAAGAGATATACATACATGTACATGTTTACAACTTAAAGATCATGAAATTTATTACTCAAACTAAGTTTTAGTAAATCTTTACATTAATATGGATTTTCTCATGAACCAGCTGTCAGTTATGTTAAATGGAAATTGCCAACTTCCACAATAATTAACAATAATTACATTGTTATCTTACTTCCCTAACCTACATTACTGGTTGCCTTTGTTAGAAAACCTTGGAACAGTCAGGCTCAGTTGCCTCAAACACTGTCAGAGACTTTTTGTTGACAATACTTTTAGTAGAAATTTCATGCCTTAGACAAACAAATTCAACACCTAATTAATCTTTCTTTTTTCATGATTGTTGTTGCTGCTTTTTTTTTCAGTTTTTTGCTCTATTTTCATGACTAATTGCTGTAATTTGTTTTGCTGTTTTTATTCTTACAAAACATTTTTGTAAGAGTTCCAATACTTGTGGATCATCCACACACTTTGCAAACATTTGGCATGCAGACAAGACAAAGGTAGTCAATGTTCCCTTAGAGAAAAAACACCTTTTATATGACATCTTCAATTTACTTTATTTGAAACTCTGATCTGAAAATATTTGTCAACAAGACTTGTTAGTAGTGAGAAGTACCAACCAAGTTTCCTTTCATAACTTAATTTCTTAAATGTCCCAATCACTGGATCTCCCAAAAAAATATTACATCTTTTTATTTTTGGTGCAAATTACAAGTCCTTCTTTATATAAAAATGAAAAGTGCTAGTCACACTTCAATAATAACAGCTCTTAAGTTTACTTGTTGTTCTTCTCTGTCTGTCAGCTATCAACAAAATTGTTTTATACAGTGCATAACTATTTATGGACCAGAGTTCCAATGCACCTCTGTAATCGCATATAGCTACTCCTGTCTCTTGTACAAATGTTTCTCCTTTGTAAGACGCACTCTACTCTGTTGTCAATACTGCTTTAAGTTCAGTGGAAACGACTGACTGAGGAATCGAGATGGCGGTGTTGGAACGTGTTGCTGAACGCTTGCTACGGTCAAGCTTTGTAGATTTAGGTACTGGTACACTGGGATCATCTATGTATCTCTTATACTTCCGAATGTGGTATCCTTCTTTTATAAATATGAGGGTAAAAGACGATTTGTAGTCGCATTCAAAACTGTGATTGGCTTGTGTTATTTCTCACCTTTGCCATTAACACAACTCAAGCGAGTTTCGAGTCTTTGTTTCCTCGACAACTTTCGGCCACAAATCGTGCATTTGTAATACGATCGATTCTTGTCGATTATTTCTACATAGAGTGAGCTCACATCTTTATTTATATCACCAAGCTATCCATCTTCTAGAAGCAGAGAACCGGTCGGAGAAGTCAGAATAAAGTTGGGCGCTTCTCTTAACACTGCAATCGGCAAGCCAGCGGATTCACTTTACTAGCCAATGACAAGTCCTAGAAAAGATCCACGTGATCATGCCCGTGATCGGAAACAAAGAAGACTCCATTTGGCGCTCATCTTTGAATGTACTTTTCATCGGTTGATCGCTTTTCTCAACTGTTTTGCTTAATATAACATTTCTAAAGATAGCTATTATTGTGGTTCAATGGGAAAACGAGAATAGCGTGAGTGTTGTAAAAGAGAAGAAAGTCGTTGGCGCCGTGGAGTTAAAAGAAGGGACAACAGTTGACATATGGACTGGTACAAACAAGGGTCGAGTGGCCATCTGTAAAGCTACGATTTTGAAAGTTTGTGGTGAGTAAAAATTGCGATATTCGTTACGAGATCAAAATCTTATAAAATAATAGATGTAGCGGGTTGAATTAAGCTTACATAACGCTCGGCGCAACTGAAACTAGAATAATTCTGAGAATCGAATCGGTCACTTGCATGCCGCAGTTTCTTAAGCTTATGCTTTACAATGAAATAAACCTATCAGCAAGGTTTCAAGATTCCTCTAGTCACGTTTGGGAACATTCAAGATTCAAAACAAACCTTAGTACATAAAGAAGCCCTCCTTGGTAAAAACAAAATAATGTATTCAGCCCTTTTTTAGTAAAATCCATGAGAGAGATGTACTAACTCCAATATAAAAGTCACTCAATATAACAGAGATTTCTCAATTTGAGAATCCAATGAATGCCCTTTTCCTCATAGCCATCTTAAAAGCCTGGTCTGAGCTTTAAACATACATATTTTAATATAATTTTTTTTTCAAATTCAGATGTCAAGGAATCCAGATACAAAATGGTCAAGGTTCTTGTTGACAACCTCATTCAAGGCCAACTCATTGTGAGCCCAGGAAAAAAATACAAACAGTACAAACAGCAGCTAAGTTTGCAGTTTAGGATAACTTCATTCTAATTTATTGTTACAGTTACAACAAGATTTTAATCAAAAAATCAATTTTATTTGTCTGTAATTAGCCCCTTCACTCCCAAGAATATAACTATATAAATAAAACTTAAGATATTGTATTTTATGGAAGAGAATCAACAGATTTTATTCACAATTTGTGTCAAACCAAATTTAATGATTGATTAGAACTATTTTATATGAATAGCTGTAATTGAGGATTAATCCGTATGAAGTTTTCAAGGAAAGAAAAATAAATCAAATTCCATCCTAATAATACCACACATTGATGTTAGTAATTAATCAAAAATATTTTACATGTAAGCCTTAATTAAGCTTCTAAATAAATTTCATTGAATATTTGAATTTTAGCTGGGTTTTTTTAATTTAAAGTATTTATTTTATATCATTAGCCTCAAATTTTTGCTTAAAATTCCCAGTAATTCTTAAACATTCCTAAAAATTCCCAAAAATTCCCAGAAGTTCCCAGAAATTCCCAGAAATTCCTAGGAATTTTTTAGATTTACAGCTTTTCAGGGAAAGTCATTGGTTCTCTGAGTTGGAATTCCTAGGAATTCCTAGGAATTCCAAGTCCTGTTGGCTATAAACTTGGAATCTCTGGGAATCTCTGGGAATTTCTGGGAATTTCTGGGAATTTCTGGGAATTTCTAGGAATTTCTAGGTTTTTAGAACCAGAGTTGTTATGGTTGGGAATTCCTAGGAATTCCCAGTCCGAATTTACCGTGAAAATTCACACCTTTATTCCTAGGAATTCCTAGGAAAATCCTAGGAATTCCTAGGAATTCCAAGAGCCATTTCGCAAGGGGAGAGAGAAGCATTTACACAATCAACCCCTAAACTCCCATGCATGACCAAAACATTATTTCTCCCCACCACATCAATACAACACCAAGCAGGCAAGTGATGCTCTGATTGTTAGTTGATCCAAAACCAAATTCTCCCAACTTACATCATATGAATTGTGTGGCAGAAAGTGAAGGGAATTACTGAATCATAATGCACCCCTGGAAAAATATTACTACTACTGACCCCATATGTCTCCTTGGTAAGTGGTGTGTACTCTTCCAAAAAATCTCTTTTCTTCTGAAATTCTTCAACAAGATCCTAACCAAAAGGATTAACTTCTGGTTATTTGTATTTCTAGGAACACCAAGTCTTGCTTGTAATGACTAAATTCAAAAAAAAGTTTGGTCATCTGTGAGCAGGGCCTCATTAACCCTTTAACTCCCAGAAGTGATGAACATGTAACTTCTCCCTTTAATATCCATATATTATTCAGGAAACAGGTGATGAGAATACTCAAACTCATCAGGTACAAGATATTACCCTGATTGAACACCAAATTCTTGTAACTAATTTACAAGGAAATGTGTAGCAGCTACAGGGGAGAATTAACAATCAGATCTTGGGAGTTTAAGGGTTAATTGCACTTTGGCAAGAGTGTTTCTTCACCCGCAGAAGAGAATGAGGCCTAGTAGAGAAACACAAGCTGCTGAGAGGCCTGTGAAGGGTTAACAGTGACAAGAAGGACCAAGTAATTAGCAGTTTAATCCCTGAGAGTGACTGACATCTAATTTCTCCTTACCATATCCCCACTCACAGAACCAAACATTATGGCCTGGAGAATGAAGGAGCTGATCACAGACTAAAGAAGCTCTTGATTGTTAGACAAATTTTCCATGTCAGAATCTTAAGAAATGTCTAGAGAACAGTATGGAGAATATGCATACTGATGTAAGGGTGTGAAGGGTTAAAACAGTCTCTCTGAATACCATAATTCAAACTACAATTATTCATATTTTACAGCTCTGAATGAAACATAAACAGTATGTATGATCCAAAACCAAATTCTCTGATCAAACATCATATGAATTTTATGGCAAACAGTAAAGAGAATGACTGAATCATAATGCACCCCTGGAGTAAGATTCTATTTGGAAAAATATAACAACTACTGACCCCATATGTCTCCTTGGTAAGTGGTCTGTACTCTTCCACAAAATCTCTTTTCTTCTGAAATTCTTCATCAAGATCCTAACCAAGAGGAACAACTTCTGGTTATTTGTATTTCTAGGAAGGCTAAGTTATTTGCATAATGGTTAAATTTAAAAAAAAGAAAAAGGTCATCTGTGAGCAGGGCCTCTATAACCCTTTAACACCCAGAACTGATAAACATGTAACTTCTGCACATAGTATCCATACATTATTCAGCAAACAGGTAATCGGAATACTCAAACTCATCAGGTACAAGATGTTATGCTGATTGAACACAAAATTCTCATTGCTAATCTATAAGGACAAGTGTAGCAGTTAGAGGGAAGAATTGAAAATCAGATCTTAGGAGTTTAAGGGTTAATTGCACTTTGGCTAAAGTGCTTCTTCACCTGCAGGAGAGAATGAGGTCTGGAGCAACATGAGCTGGTGAGAGGCCTGTAAAGGGTTTAACCCTTTAACTCTCACAAGTGATTAACATGAAACTTCTCCCTATAATATCCATGCATTATTTAGCAAGCAGGTAATGAGAATATTCAAACCTGTCAGGTTGAAGCTTTTATCTTGATTTAGTATCAAGTTCTCACAACTAATTTATAGGGAAATATGTAGCAGCTAAAGGGGAGAATTTACAATCAGATCTTGGGAGTGAAAGGGTTAACACTGATAAAGAAGGACCAAGTATTCAGCAGTTTAACCCCTAAGAGTGACTGACATCTATTTTCTCCTAACTGTATCCTTCCTGAATCAAACATTAAGGTCAGGAGAATAAACAAGCTGATCACTGACTAGAGAAGCTCTTGATTGTTAGACAAATTCTCCATGTCAGCATCTTAGAAAATGTTTAGAGAACAGTGTGGAGAATATGCATACTGATGTTAGGATGTGAAGGGTTAAAACAGTCTCTCTGTATACCACAATTCAAACTACAATAATTATTATTCATATTTTACAGCCCTGAATGAGACATACACTGTATGTAATTAAGCAATAATCCAGTGATATCACAATTTTACTAAATAAAGACTTCTTAGATAAAAAATAAAAACAAAACAAAACAAAAAAACATAAAAAAATCCTGGAACATTTTGTACCTTGTGACTATGATGCCTGAGATCATCCACAGCCTCATGATATAGACTTGTCCTAAGACCCTTTTTCACTTTGCTTCTCACCGCAAGCTTTGTAATAAAAAAAGTGTTTATACCTTACACTGTAAGTGTATGAGCATGAGAGATGCCATTAAGCCACTGATCACTGAGTTGAAAAGAGATTAATTTCTCAGAGCAAGGAGTTTAATAATGATTATCAAACTTAGTTTCACCAAGTTGCAACAGACATTTTGTCACAAAAGAAATCCCCCAGGCATATATACATACAATCAGTGAGAAAATTGTCAACACACTACCATTGAAATGGCAATATTCTGGAATAGCATACCAATTATATTCCTTACTTTTAACTCTTCTTCTCATGTACAATGTTTCTTTAATTGTTTTACACCATTCTACAACATTGACTGGTGGAAGAGCTTATTGTTGCAGTGAATTGCAGTTCAATTTTCACTCCATTTCTACATAATTCCTTAGAGGTGGCTCAGTGGATGTTGTGTCAACTGATTTTATCTTTAAAACATTTATGACCCCTTAAGATGAAAAAAGTCACAATTATTGTTGATTATATGAAAAATATACCTATGTAGTTTAAATCAAGTGTTCTTTTGCCATAGTATGTCAGTTTACAAATTTGGCGAAAAAAATCACCCACACTCACAGGGATCATGGCCAAATAACTGTAAGAGCATCTTATTATTTGAAAAACTCACATTTTCCTCTTTCAAAACCTTCTGCAAATCTTCATCTTTTGAAAAGGCTGGGTGGCTGACAACAAGTTGAAAAAATCTGAAAAACATTAAAAATTTTAATTCTTGAGATGGGCTAATATGCAATGTAAACATGTGAATCAACAGTGTCTCCCTGAAAGTACATTAAATTTTAGAGAGAAAACAGTATCTTCAAGAAAAGCTGAATCTTTCCTGAGGAAGTTTCTCTAAGATCTGTTTCTTGTTTGGTTGTTTTCTTGATCATTTTTGTTTTACTTCACCAGTTCACTGGGAGAAAAAAACTTAAATGGAAAATTAACCCTTTATATCCTAACAGTGACTAACATCAAATTTCTCCTTAAAATATCACACCTAAATCACAAGTTAAGGTCATGAGTGTAAAGGAAATGATCATCAACAAAAGAAGCTTTTGATTGGTAAACAAATTCTCCTTGTCAGCACCTTAGGAAATGTATAAAGAGCTGTATGGAGAATATGAATACTGAATCTAGGGTGTAAAGGGTTAAAAAACACTTTCCCAACCCACTGTTTTTCTTTTCAATTCTCTGTAATCTGCTGTAAATCCATACAATTACTGAACTATCCCCTTTTCCTATTCCTTCATTACTCCTCTCCATTGGTTATCCTCAATTTCTTTACTCCACCATAAACTTTGTTTCAACATTAACATATACCTGTTTTCTCCTTTCTTCCACTTCTCTGAACATTCCTCTGTAACCCAAATCCACATCGTCCTTGAATTTCTGTCTTACATTGTTGTGTAGCTCAGTAGCTCGATGTGCGGCGCTTGGTAACCACCCTGTCTCACTTCGCTAACAAACCACCAGCAGAGTTCTATTTGTGTACTGCGTCAAGAAAATGGTTTCCAAATGACAAAGTACCGGCTGCATCCACGGAAAATGCCTTATAGCAACGATGCTACTGACTCTAGATCGTTACTACCAAAAAGGCAAATTAGTCATCAAGTTGGCAGCCATGTGCAGCTTTTTTGGCCTTGTTACGCCTGATAAATGAGGCGTTGCTTACATAAGGGACTTGGGTAGCTTATGAAAAAATGTTTTGAATTACATATGGTACCTTTGCAGAAAGAATTAGAGGTGTGGAGGCCCCATAGTCTGCGTGTTGGAGTCTGAGTCGAGAGATTCCTATTCAACCCTGGGGCATGATTTTCAAAGTTCCACTAACTTCAGAAGAACAAATATAACATTTACAAATTAAATTATACGCAATGATGATGCGAGTCTTCGTCCAGACATTAGTGAGTTCTTTTTCTTTCCTTGTCGTTTTTACTGTTTGCATTTCAAATTTGTCAAAATCTCTATCTCGAAAGAAACATGGCAAACAAAATCCACCTGGCCCGTTTACTTCCCGGATCTTTCGAGAAACGGGCTCCTGGCCTTTTTCATAGGAAGGGGTTTTTTCCACAATCGTTAGGCCTCTCTCTCTAAACAGGATTACAAATAAGTACCGCTGAACTGTGAGCCTGAAACGAATCGTCTCCCAAATAACTGTTGCATTTCAAATATCTATGTCAATCATTTACAACATGGAGTCCTTGCTTTGGGAGTCAAAGATCTGATAGCATTTGTAACTCATTTGCGTTTTTCCACTTTTAGGGATTTTCTAAAAAGTGTTTTTAAACAAAACAATCAGCAATTATTCATTTTAAAAACTTCTGTTACCGAAACACGCCGACGACTCTGCTCAAAATTCAGCTCCACTACCTGATCAGTGCAGCCAGCAAATTCATCAGCAGATCGCCAGCAACTTTATCGCACTTTACACCACTTATTTGGGACCAGATAATGACTGCAATTCACTTGGGCTATGCACAATCGAAAATGTCGAGGTGGAATGTGGAGACCAGACAGGAACACTTCGAAAGAGAGACTTAGGAAGTAATCAGCTCTCATCAAGAATTTCACTTTCCATTAGTTTTGATTTGAAAGTTCCACTGCCCGGGAACACGACCGAAGCTGATCTTAATCAGACAACTGAAGAAATTTCCAGTAACCTATTATTAAAGTTTAACCAACAGATGTGAATCTTAATATCAGTGGGATTTCCTTAGTTTTCGATGCTTCAAAACCGCCTCAAGTCCGCTTTGTGCGCCTTTTATGTGATAGTGGACAGGTTCTAAGAGGCTCCAAATGTGGTGAGCAGAGTTTGTTATCATCAAATTCCTAAGAATCTCAAAAAACAAAGTGACTGGTTAACTCTTGTGCTTAAAAGATTCTTATTTTGTCCAATGGTGTTGGTTACGCTGGCATTTTCCATAAGAGAGTATTCTATAAAATTTTTTTTAACGTATCGGACAAACAGGAGCAGCGAGAGGCATGATGCAAATGAAAGAATAGCCGGAGAATTTTTATTTTACGTTTGCCAAGTACTTTCCTATAACTATGAAATTTTCTGAAATGCCCGAGTTTTCCAAAGTGGCCGTACAAGCAATTTCACTTCCGCTTTATAATTGTTTTATTTTAAAAAAATAGGTGTTATACGATTGGCTGCCTACCCTAGATCAACAATTTTTCAAAGGCGCAGAATTTCTTCGCAGAAGGCATTCCAAAAAATATGGGAGTTGAAAAAAACGCATTGAAAGTGTATACTCTAACTTAGACTAGAATCTTTGTATAGCTTTTAAGGCCCTTGATGTTTAGGGAGTACTTGGTTAAGTTTAGACCCTATCGTAAGTAATAAGAGAGATGTAATTAACTCAACGAAGGAAGCATGTCATAACCAAGCACCAAAAAGTCATTCTTTCAACTGAATCAAAGTACAAAACCTTTCTCTTAAAAATGAGTTTCCGCGCATGAGGTTGAAGAATGATTGTAATGTGATTATCGAAAACACAATGCACTTGCCTTGCTATACAAACAGGTGCTTCAAACAGCTCTGAAATAGCTTTATAAACAGCTTGATGATACGTCAAACACTTTGAATATCTTCGACCCTTTTTGTTATTTATTGTGAGCTGTCCTGTTGGATACTTACACAATACCTCAGATTGCCAAGCATGCGCAGTGGATCATTACCAGGATAAAGAGGCACAGACTTCTTGTGTTCCTTGTCCATCTGGAACATCAACATTCAGAGAGTTAGCATCTAGATGGCAAAGAAACTGTAAAGGTCACTAATAAAATTATACTAAATGTCTTATTTTGACTTATGATGAATTTATTTGTACTCCTGTAAACAATATTTGTGTTTGACCGCTTGCCAATTCTTACTTTCATCAGAAAATTTCAAAACATCAAATGCTTGGGCAAATCAAATCAATGGGCGCGGGACATCAGGTCACCATCTCAGTGCCATTGTTAAGTTGCCATGGCAATAGTTGTACCAGTCATTGTAATAGTTGCTGTCGCCATCTTTTGTGTGTGGACGGAAAGAATGTAAGTCAAAAGCATCGTTTCCTTTTTTTTTTTTTTTTTTTGGTTGTCATTATCGTCACCATAAAAATTTCTTACTGTTATCTTTACTGCTGTCGTGGTTTTTTCAAAAGTGGAATAGAAACCGATAGAGTTGAATTGCAATGGAATAAACAAAGCATAAAACAAATATTCTTATTTTGGCCTAGTAAGGCATTAACAAAGTTAAGATTTGTCTTGTTTCGGAGTTCCAAGACGCGTTCGCTTGAATGACATAGCATCACATAGGTTTGATACATGCGAGCTACTTAAAGATTCATTTCGCTCTTTCTCATCTATTTTATCGTTTCTCCCTCAGAAGACCTCGGCGAAGAACTTCTGAGACCAGGGGACACAACAATCTAGCATATGAAGATCCAATGAGTACCCGTGTCTATGAGGAAATTGAAGAATTGCAGTTTCCGAGTCCTCGTTCCCATTATCAGTTACTGAACACGGAACCACATACTTACGCGGAGCTTCGAAACAGTCACTCTGAAGCCTAGGGAAATAGTTAGACGATTTTAGATAATCTGAGTTGAGATTTTTTTTTGCTATAGTCCTACCTTCACCGGTTTAAGCCGTGGATATATGCAAAGCATAGGAAAAAGCAACGCGTTAACGCGGCCTAGGAAGCCTGGGGAGAGCATACATATATCTTATATAGGATGCGAACTCAATGTTAGTTTTGGAAAATCAATGAAGGAGAGCTCTTGTGGGGATGACGGCTAATTTTGTACCGATAATGTACTGCGCAATAACCCTTTTATCACAATGTGAACAACTGAACATTCCCTCTTGACACTTTGTTGGGAGAGTGGAAACAAATGTCAAGGTTGTTTTGGTAAACTTAGACTTGACCCGCTGAAATAATCAATTATATTCTGCACGTTATATCCACGAGTTCATCAAAATGTCACTTGGATCTTGT